GGGGGGGGGGTGGAGGCGGGCCAGAGGACGGGGGAGGTCATTAGGGTAATGAGGGTAATGAGGTTAATGAGGTTAATGAGGGTAATGAGGTTGATGGGGGAGTTGGTGGTGGTTGGGGTCAACGCCAACCTCAACGCCGATGGTGGGGATGATGGGCAACCAGTTGGGTTGGAAGCTTGGGTCAACGAAGCTCGTTAGGTTAATGAGGCTCGTTAGGTTGATGAAGTTCGCTAGGTTGATGAGGCTTGTTAGGTTAACGATGCTGGTTAAGTTAATGAGGCAGTGGTGGTGGTTGGGGTCAATGCAACCTCAACGCCGATGCTGTGGATGATGAGCAACCAGTTGGGTGGATACTTGTTGGGTCAACGAAGCTCGTTAGGTTAATGAGGTTCGTTAGGTTAATGAGGCTCGTTAGGGTGATGAGGCTCCTTAGGTTGATGAGGCTCGTTAGGTTAACGATGCTGGTTATGTTAATGAGGGAGTGGTGGTGGTTGGTGGTTGGGGTCAACACCAACCTCAACGCCGATGGTGGGGACGATGGGCAACGAGTTGGGTTGGAAGCTTGGGTCAACGAAGCTCGTTAGGTTAATGAGGCTTGTTAGGTTGATGAAGTTTGCTAGGTTGATGAGGCTCGTTAGGTTAACGATGTTGATTAAGTTAATGAGGCAGTGGTGGTGGTTGGGGTCAACGCCAACCTCAACGCCAATGGTGGGGACGATGGGCAACCAGTTGGGTTGGAAGCTTGGGTCAACGAAACTCGTTAGGTTGATGAGGTTCGTTAGGTCGATGAGGCTCGTTAGGGTGATGAGGCTCGTTAGGTTAACGAGGCTCGTTAGGTTGATGAGTGGTGGTGGTTGGGGTCAACGCCAACCTCAATGCCAATGGTGGGGATGATGGGCAACCAGTTGGATTGGAAGCTTGGGTCAATGAAGCTCGTTAGGTTAATGAGGTTCGTTAGGTCGATGAGGCTCGTTAGGGTGATGAGGCTCGTTAGGTTAACGAGGCTCGTTAGGTAGATGACGGAGTGGTGGTGGTTGGGGTCAATGCAACCTCAACGCCGATGGTGGGGACGATGGGCAACGAGTTGGGTTGGAAGCCTTCTGAGTTAATGAAGCTCGTTAGGTTAATGAGGCTCCTTAAGTTGATGAGGTTCGTTAGGTTAACAAGGCTCCTTAAGTTAATGAGGCAGTGGTGGTGGTTGGGGTCAACGCCAACCTCAACGCCGATGCTGTGGACGATGGGCAACCAGTTGGGTTGGAAGTTTGGGTCAACGAAGCTCGTTAGGTTAATGAGGCTCGTTAGGTTGATGAAGTTCGCTAGGTTGATGAGGCTTGTTAAGTTAACGATGTTGATTAATTTAATGAGGCAGTGGTGGTGGTTGGGGTCAACGCCAACCTCAACGCCGATGGTGTGGATGATGGGCAACCAGTTGGGTGGATACTTGTTGGGTCAACGAAGCTCGTTAGGTTAATGAGGCTCGTTAGGTTAATGAGGCTCCTTAGGTTGATGAGGCTCGTTAGGTTGATGAGGCTCGTTAGGTTAACGATG